CTTTGATTCTCATTCTAAATAATGTCATCTTATCTGGCCTAACACAACCATCCACATTATGTTATACCATACGGTTGACAGTAAGAAATGACATTTTTCACTAAAAAATCAAAGAATATATTATCAACACCATAATTCCATCCATCTAATACTATCTATTCTAAATTTATACTACATTTATTATATAGTCTTATCCGGGACAGCAAATGCAACCTTAGGGTACCAGCTAACCAATCTGCCTATCTCTCTTCAACGCTTCATATAGTAATTTACCTTTTTCCCCTCAATGGTCTCAGGAACATCCCCATTGGCAATTCTCTGAGCAAGGCCCTCTGCAATAGCTGTCTTCCCAACCCCAGGTTCTCCAATGAGGCAGGGGTTATTTTTTGTACGCCGCCCCAGAATCTGAGTGACACGTTCAATTTGCTGCTGCCTTCCAACAACAGGGTCTAATTTACCCTAAAACCAAGACATCAAGCAACTTTTAGCCTTCCATGAGAAGTTAATGCTTGCAGGCTTCAAGAAATACAGAAGATTACCTCCTCAGCTAGCTTGGTTAAATTAGTACCATACTCCTCCAGTGTAGGCATCTTGTTGCCTGAGCTTCCACCTCCAACACCAGCACCAACAGCTTCTGCACTCTCGCCCACCATTCTAATAACCTAATCGCCCAAATGGATCAACATACAGTCAGTTTTAAGGGATCACAAAATAGTTGACAAAAAGAAAAGAGTAGTAGTAATTCTTGCCTGTGTACGAATATTACTTGGGTCAGCACCTAAATTCTCAAGAACACGAGCTGCCACACCTTCACCCTCACGAAGCAATCCCAGCAGCAAGTGTTCTGATCCAATGTAATTGTGACCTACATCAAAAGGCAATAAATTTCACATCAAATTTCAGAGAAAAAGAAATTGATAATAATCCACACAAATAATCATGTGTCCTGAGGCTAAATATGAAGCTAACCTAAATAAAAATAAAAAAATAAAAAAAAAAAGAAGAAGAACCTTTATTGATAAAATGTATATTAGAATTTGATGAAGTTAAAGCCTAACATGTGTACCAGGAACCGTTGCCTCGAAGACACTCTCAAGAAACTAGCACACACTAAAAGAATCAATGAAAAACTTACCAAGCTGGCGAGCTTCCTCTAGTGAGAGTTCTAACACACGCTTTGCACGAGGAGTAAAAGGTATCTCCACAGCAACGAATCCACTACCCCTTCCAATTATTTTCTCCACCTCCACACGGGCATCTTTCAAATTAATTCCCATTGACTTGAGAACCTTAGCAGCAATGCCAGTGCCCTCGCCAATAAGTCCCAACAGAATCTGCTCAGTTCCCACAAAATTATGACCAAGCCGTCTTGCCTCCTCTTGTGCAAGCATGATAACTTTTATTGCTTTCTCAGTAAAGCGCTCAAACATGGCTCGTGGTGCAATTCGGCATTTTCTTCGTCGTGTAACAGAGGTGATACCAGATACCTTCGAAAGGAATGACTGGCCAGTTTGCCTCAGCATCATATCTAAGGCATTGGATCCTCGCAATCCTGAGAAATTCCTGATCCTTAGAGGCATTGTTTGTAAACTACACAGCATTGTAACCATTCTTTTGTTACTCCCAGATCCCTTTAATTGACCATTCCTTTCACCGGAAACTATATTGAGGTTATTACTTGACTGAACTAAAGCTCTCGCCATGATTGCGTTAAAGGGATCTGCATATGAAATGACAATAAGACAGCTAAGATTTAAATCAAAAGGCCATTTTTTAGTTGTGAGCACAAAACAATTCTATTTGAAGCTCCAAAATGTGAGATGGCGACATATATAGCTAGCATAATCTGCTAAAGTTTCTTCTTGCGAGACGAGCATGAAAAATGTGAAATATTTACATATGTTCACCATAACAGGAAAATGATTCCCATCTTCAACAAACATGCACTGTGCAATTTATAACGTAGAAACATCCTAAAAGGATAATTTTATTTTCTAGAACCAACAAAAAGGGTCAATTAGTGGGTATTTGGACATGAAAGGATCCACAAACACCCACAACCACCTAATTACCCAGAGTTCTCAGCTTAGGAAGCAAAAGACCACATTGAAAAGCTCCATGAGAACACTAGAAAGTCACTTCAACTGTTCAACACATAAAGTTAATGCAACTGGAGGCTAAAATAAAGTAGAAAGGCCTCTGCCATACAAAGAGCTGAATATACAAGAAGCAACAATTTTTTGAGAAGTAGATCTAACATATCATCTTGAATCGAGGAAGTTGGCAGGAGGGATTGCATTTCCACTGCTAAGTTAATGCAATTATTCGACTTGACTAATTCCAAAATCTCAAACTAAGGAATAAACTTCTTCAGTTGATGGAAACAATCAGAAATCAAAAATCCAATGAAAACATAAGTTTTCAAGTATGGAACACATAAATTTGAACCTCAAAAAGGGAGCCATAAAAATGGGCTTCTAAAAACTACATACTACACAAGAAGTTTTTTTAGTTCTTTATCTTGAAGTAGACAGATTCGAGGAGCCGAAATGCAGAGAGTAGAACTATATGAACTCTAATCAACCAACATTCGATGATACCATACGTTATAAAAGTTTAACAAGAATAATAAAAATAAAAAAATAAACCAGTGGATTTTATAGAACACTTTACCCCCATATTATTATAATAGAACTCACATCATACTATAGACACATAAATCTAAGATATTTTTTCACCATCCACAGAAAAGAATGTACTTACAGTAAAATAGAAAAACAAGTAAAATGAAAAGAGAATTTTGCAATAACAATTCATACAAGCTCCAGAGCTGCTAAAAGCACATAAAAACACATATTAGCTCTTTCATTTAGTGCTAGCTCACATAATCTAAATAGAATCACAGAGAGATAACAGATACTAGCTAACATTTCATTCCATCGCCATTTATGATAACATGTTTTTAGCTAATCAATTCAAAAAGAATATTATTTCAACATTAAAAACTTTCATCTGTAAACCTAAAGAACCAGATTGAAAAAAATTATAAAAGTAAAAAATAACACAGATATATTACGAGAACAAATCAGAAAAAAACCTTCAATGAGCATCTAATTAACCTAAAATCAAATAATATCAATAGAAACCCAATTTCAATTCAGACACAGAAATACAAATTAGGTCAACAAGAAATATAAACTTTACCTGAATGAAAAATAGATTAACAGAAAGACGAATGAGAGAATTGTTAAGGTCTCTCAATAATAAAGAGAGAGGGGGTTGGCGTGCACTTTAGGGGGATTGAGAGTGATGTAGAAGAAGGTAGATGTGGATGAAAATGGACCGGTTTGCAGCTTCTTCTCTTCATAATAAAAAACATGGGAAAATTTAATTGTCACGTTCCAAAACCAAGAAAAGAAGTGTGAAATTTCAAAAATCATATTTTTATTAAAAATTATTTTTAATTTAATTAATTAATTATTTTAGTAATTAAATATATTTAAGTCACAAATTTGTATAATTTGATCACAAAATAACGATTTAATTCGTCACTTTTTTTTTGTCACAAATTATTTTACGATTACAATTCAAAAATTTTATAGGTCACAGTGTGTTCATCGATCATAAATCGAAAAATTTATAAGTCACGATTTATTTATTGATCACAAATGACAAATATTACAAGTCACAATTTATTATATAATCACAAATTATCGATCACAGATTAATAATTTTTTAGGTCATACATTATTTTTTGATCAAAATTTATTTTTTTCGTTGGTCACGTATTATTTATTGATCATAGATTAACCAATTTAATGATCACTGGAAATCAAATAATTTGTGACCACCACCAATACTTACGATTCATAGTCACAATTTTCAGGTCGCTTATCCAATTGTGATTCATAAATCAACCAAACCCCCACGACCACTGTCACAACCAACTGTGACTCCCAAATTGTGAGTTACAATTGGGAGTTACAATCACAATTTTGAAGTCATGGGTTCAATTATTTGACACAAAATCAAACAAACCGTCATGACCACCACAACCACCGACACGACCACCGTCAGTCCACCACAATTACCACTGTCATCACAAAATCGTGCAAATCACCAACATCAACTCATTGTCGTCGCACACACACCACCACGTCTACGCACAAAAACTTTTAGATTAACAGTTGTATAAATATATCTGAACTCCACCACTGCACCATCACCGCTGCACGTGCCACCATCGCCATAGCATAATTCATGTAGCGACAATCACCACTTGGCACTACCACCATCACCTGCATTACCTTCAACAGCTGCAAACACCATCACCGTACCTACCACAAAGCAAACCACCAAACTCTGAGCACCATCCCAAACCTTCGCAAAAACCCAAAAAAATCATATTCGTACCAGATCGCGCCTCCACCAAATTTTTCCCAAATCGCGGAGCGGCACTCATTCCGCCCGCCGCGGCGTCATCGCCCCTATGCCCTCTACACAATGCAACGACGTCAAGCCATTGTAATGACGTCATCGCTGCAGCCTTCCTCTCCACTATGGTGGCCTCCAGCTTTCAAATTAACACAAATTTCATCCAACCACTCCCCAAACCCTAATCAAGATCTCCACGACCACCATTTGCCACTGTTCTGGCTGTTGCTCGATCGTGATCTTTCGGTGAACGCTTGTCTAGAGATGGTCGATTTGTGGGAGAGATATTCGACGGCGGTGTTTAAGGCAGAGAGAGAGAGAGGGAATTGAGATTGATTTAATTAGATTTGAAATTGTTTTACTTAATTAATTTTTAAATACATTAATTAATTTAAAAAATTATGATTTGTGAAATACTAAACATGTCTTCTTATTTATGAAATGAGGATTTTTAATTTATTAGAATCCGTAATTTCCACAAAAAACATAAAAGGTAAATTATAGTTGTGTTTCAAAACTTTACAAATTAGAACTTAAATCCTTTATTAATTTGCTCTAGCAAGTGAATCCTCAAACTTCAAATCTGTGGAGCCAGGAGAATCGGGGTGACATCACTTCCACCATTGGGCTGCATTCCAGTAACAAGAACTATATTACACGAGAGTGGTTGTGTCTCTAGGATTAACAGTGATGCCCAAGGATTCAACGAAAAGCTCAACTCATCCGCAATACAACTCCAGCAACAACTTTCCGGCCTTAAGATTGTTGTGTTCGACATCTACAAGCCCCTTTATGAACTAATTCAAGATCCATCAAAACAAGGTACGAACAAATTTGTCTTCAGAAATCTATGTTATGATGGATTGATTCGCTTCAACATAATAATTTCTGCTGTTATTTGTTGAAAAATATTTAAATAAATAAATGTTTCCTTCACTAAATACTTAAGCTTTTAGATCAAACATAACATTAGAGCATTACGAAAAATGTCACGTGTAAGGCAAAGGCCTTTTTTGTTTTATCAGAGAGCGGGCAAAAGACTTCAGTTGAGGTCTCGGTGCCCCCTAACAAGAAAAATTTTCATGTATTACGTATTTGATGAATCTGATCTGCATATGCGTAGTTTGTTGAAGGAAATGTCTCTTTCTAATAGCGAAGCTTTTAGATGATGTTATTTTTGTCCTTGTAGGTTTTGCAGAAGCAGGGAGAGGTTGCTGTGGTACAGGAACTGTAGAGACAACAGTAATTCTGTGCAATCCCAAGTCAATCGGTACTTGCAGCAATGCGACTCAGTATGTGTTTTGGGATAGTGTGCACCCGTCTCAGTCAGCTAATCAAGTTCTAGCTAATGCCTTGATTTCCCAAGGAATCAGCCTCATAGGATGATCCAAGAATTTACTACCTCTTTCATATGTAAATGTTGAGGATGTTACTTCCTTTATATCGAGAAAGGAGCCTCTCCTTTCCTGCTAATCTGTAGTCCTAATAAAGAAAGTAGCATATTAAAATAGTTTGTACATTTTATATCGAGAAAGGAGCCTCTCCTTTCCTGCTAATCTGTAGTCCTAATAAAGAAAGTAGCATATTAAAATAGTTTGTACATTTTATATCGAGAAAGGAGCCTCTCCTTTCCTGCTAATCTGTAGTCCTAATAAAGAAAGTAGCATATTAAAATAGTTTGTACATTTTATATCGAGAAAGGAGCCTCTCCTTTCCTGCTAATCTGTAGTCCTAATAAAGAAAGTAGCATATTAAAATAGTTTGTACATTCAAGTAAATGTACAAACTTAAAAAGTCGAAATGAAAGTAACAGCTATATCTCAACCTTTACCATAAAGAAAGTAGCATATTAAAATAGTTTGTACATTCAAGTAAATGTACAAACTTAAAAAGTCGAAATGAAAGTAACAGCTATATCTCAACCTTTACCATAACCGACATGTCCTTTAATCATAAAATTTCTGAAAATCTAAAACTATATTCCTAGTGGCCGACTGAGACATGCATAAAGACTTAATACTCAAACATAAATTTATCAACTGGATTTGGACTCAGCCTCCAATTAATAACTTCATAGTTTTTCGCCTTCAAATGAAAAGCAGCAGTACAAACAACGAACAGGCTACAGCCAAACGAAAGCTCAGTCTAGACAGCAACAGGCTCAGGAGATGGCTCAGGAGGGGCACCACTGCTACCATTGAGAACAATCACGTTGCCATCAGAGTCAACATCAACTATAACTGAATCACCTTCTTTGATTTCACGAGCAAGCATCTTCTCTGCCATGCTGTCCTCCAAAAGTCTCATTATAGCTCGTCTAAGTGGTCTTGCCCCATAGCTTGGGTTGTATCCTTCCTCAACGACCCTATCTCTAAATCTCTCAGTCACCTGAAGTTCGATATCTTTGCTTTTCAGTCTCTCGAATACCTCCTTTAGCATTATATCAGCAATCTCCTTCACCTCCAGCTTGGTGAGCTGCCGGAATACAATCATCTCATCCAATCTATTTAAAAATTCTGGCCTGAAATATTGTTTCAGCTCCTCTGTCACTAGGCTCTTGATCCGGTTGTAACTGCTATCCTTCTCATCATAGTCTAGATCAAAACCAATACGACGACCTCCCTTCTCGATTACACTACTTCCGACATTTGATGTCATGATTAAGAGGGTGTTCTTGAAGTCTACTGTTCTACCCTTGCTGTCAGTTAACCTTCCGTCTTCAAGAATTTGAAGCATCATATTAAACACATCAGGATGAGCCTTTTCGATTTCATCAAAAAGTACAACGGTATAAGGACGGCGTCGAACAGCCTCTGTTAGCTGTCCACCTTCGGTGTAACCAACGTAACCAGGAGGTGAGCCAATGAGTTTCGAAACAGTGTGTCTCTCCATGAACTCACTCATATCAAGCCGGATCATGGCTTCTTCTGAACCAAAGTAGTAGGCTGCTAGTGCTTTAGCCAGTTCTGACTTTCCAACACCAGTTGGCCCGGAAAAGATAAAGCTCGCAATAGGCCGATTGGGGTTTTTAAGACCAACACGAGCACGGCGAATGGCACGACTGATGGCTTTGACAGCTTCATCCTGCCCAATGACCCGAGTGTGGAGTGTCTCCTCCATCTTGAGGAGACGATCAGATTCATCAGTAGACACTTTCTCAACAGGTATTCCCGTCCAAGAAGAAACAATGTGCTGAATGTCAACTTCTGTCACAACAGGACCTCCATCCCCAGCCTCACTCTCAGCCTTCGTCATTTCTTTGTTTTTGTCTATAAGAGCAGATATCTGTGCCTTTAGATCCATTTCCCTGTCACGTAGCTCCCCAGCCTGTACATTGATTAAAGTATCATGAGCTTCGTCTGATAAAGCTGGTGCTAGGAAATCCTGCTGAGCATGAAACTCAGCAACTAAACAGCTTAAGAATTGGCATCATGATTGAAACATGAAAGAAAACTCAGTATCCTATATCTTACTCTTATTGGACTACAAAATGGGATATGTATTATAAGGTTACAATTCACCTTTTCAAAGTCCTGACTTCTGACTGCCTCATTTTTCTCCTTTGTGATCTGTCTGAGTTCTTTCTCTACCTCCCTAGCTTCCTCAGGAAGCTGCAAAAAAATACAACTGTTGCTATAGATTGGTTCGGATAAGGAAAATAGCATCACTAAGAAAATCCCATACCTGAGCATGAAGAAGTCGAACCCGGGAACCAGCTTCATCAATCAAGTCAATGGCTTTATCTGGAAGAAAGCGATCACTGAAATATACAAAGAGAATAGTCAGAGCTGAGCAGACAGTTTACAAGCAACACCTGACTAAGGTGGGTACGTATGTGACTATTGCTAGGATCAGAAGACAACTAATGGGGGGATGCAAAGCACCGTTATTCGGATGTTAAAAATCCTCGCGTCCCATTCAACATTATAATACATCCACATACTGTTTATTGTAACCGGTAAACAATAATTTATAGATTACAATATAATATTTAATTTTTTCTCTAAAAAAGTACAACCTGATGTACTGGTATGATAGCTGAGCTGCAGAAACTAAAGCTTCATCAGTGTAACGAAGCTTGTGATGGATTTCATATCGTTCACGAAGCCCTTTTAAAATTTGTATGGTTTCATCCACAGTAGGCTCTGGGACCTTGACAGGCTGGAACCGTCTTTCTAATGCTGGATCTTTCTCAATGTGCTTTCTGTATTCATCCAGTGTAGTAGCCCCAATACACTGATTGATGAAGATATAAGCATGATCAAAAGATATCAAAAAATGTGGTGACTAATAAAAGATGGGGAAAGACATACGAAGCACTCCCGTTAAACTTAGTACATCAAAATTGTGAGCCATTAAAAGTCATTCAATAGTGCCATATAGAAAATAAGTCAAGGCTGAATGCACCCAAACAACCCTTTTCAACGCTTTGCAAAACATACCTATGACACTGAGGTGGGAAAGGAAATGAAGTGTGGTACACAGAGGAAGATGAGATTTCCAAAAAATAATTTAACTAGAGAAATTGTTGTCTCATTTTCAAAAATGTCCAGAAGGAAGAGTAATTAAGATTTTTAAGAATGTGAAGAATGATGCACAACATTAAATGCATACATAAGCTACATATGGAACAGTCGATGGTTCAATTTTGGCCCTACCAACCTGTAATTCACCCCGAGCTAGCGCAGGTTTCAAGATGTTTGCAGCATCTATCGCCCCCTCTGCTGCTCCTGCTCCAATCAATGTGTGCACTTCATCAATAAAAAGAATAATTTCATCACTCTGTTTAATTTCCTCCATCAGCTTCTTCAGCCTTTCCTCAAATTCACCACGATACTTTGTCCCAGCAACGAGAAGACCCATATCAAGGGTTATAACCTGAAAGGACAGAGGAATTTTTATTCTCAGCTCAAAATACTGTGTGTTTTCAGTATTTGATAAAAGCATTAAATTAGCCTCTGTTGGGAAAGAATTTATAAACGATTTAATTTATAAATAAATAAAAATGAATGGTGGATAAGCATATAGTACTTATGGTCCATTGAATGTGCAGTTGAAAATGAGATTTGGCCATTTATAAATTGATTTATAAAGTTTGACGAACGGAGGCTTACTTATTCCACTAGAACATAAAACTATAATTATGAAATATATAAACTGAAAGCACAAAAGGGGTAGTGTGGATATAAGTTTTACAGAACCAAATTGGTGCATACGCTACATTTTGTTTAGAATCCAGATAACATGAATAATTATAAAACCCTACAAACCCTCGTACAACCACCACCACCTAAGAAAAAATAATTTAGCAAGAATGCATATTAGGGAGTTGTTTTAATACTTATTTTTAAAATCTTCTTCAAAATTTTTAGTGGATCTCCAAGATCCACTACAAAGAGGGAAACAAGCTTAACTCTTCAAATTTATAGAGGATTACCAAATTGGGGACCTTGAAAATAGCCGTCCAACTCATACTTCTAATCATGGGACATTTAGGTTGCATTTGGTGAACCCAAATAGACCGTAAAAAATTTATTATAAAATTAGAATATATTGTGGTGAGTAACTATATTATGGAGATTAAGGTGAATGATATTCTTTGATTCTCATTCTAAATAATGTCATCTTATCTGGCCTAACACAACCATCCACATTATGTTATACCATACGGTTGACAGTAAGAAATGACATTTTTCACTAAAAAATCAAAGAATATATTATCAACACCATAATTCCATCCATCTAATACTATCTATTCTAAATTTATACTACATTTATTATATAGTCTTATCCGGGACAGCAAATGCAACCTTAGGGTACCAGCTAACCAATCAGCCTATCTCTCTTCAACGCTTCATATAGTAATTTACCTTTTTCCCCTCAATGGTCTCAGGAACATCCCCATTGGCAATTCTCTGAGCAAGGCCCTCTGCAATAGCTGTCTTCCCAACCCCAGGTTCTCCAATGAGGCAGGGGTTATTTTTTGTACGCCGCCCCAGAATCTGAGTGACACGTTCAATTTGCTGCTGCCTTCCAACAACAGGGTCTAATTTACCCTAAAACCAAGACATCAAGCAACTTTTAGCCTTCCATGAGAAGTTAATGCTTGCAGGCTTCAAGAAATACAGAAGATTACCTCCTCAGCTAGCTTGGTTAAATTAGTACCATACTCCTCCAGTGTAGGCATCTTGTTGCCTGAGCTTCCACCTCCAACACCAGCACCAACAGCTTCTGCACTCTCGCCCACCATTCTAATAACCTAATCGCCCAAATGGATCAACATACAGTCAGTTTTAAGGGATCACAAAATAGTTGACAAAAAGAAAAGAGTAGTAGTAATTCTTGCCTGTGTACGAATATTACTTGGGTCAGCACCTAAATTCTCAAGAACACGAGCTGCCACACCTTCACCCTCACGAAGCAATCCCAGCAGCAAGTGTTCTGATCCAATGTAATTGTGACCTACATCAAAAGGCAATAAATTTCACATCAAATTTCAGAGAAAAAGAA